GGCCTGTAAAAATTTTTCCATTAATTTTTTAACGGCCAACCGAAGGCTGCAAAGATTAAACAATACATCTATCACGCGTTTTCTAAAACAAAAAATCACACCGTAACGAAAAAAAATTGTAAGAGAAAACGTGCATTTAATATTTGAAGTATTTGGAATTTGTTAAATTTAATATTTAAAAAATCAACAAAAAATCATCCAAAAATTAGAAAAAAATATTGGAAAAAAATTGTCAAAAAATGAAATCAGAAAAAAGCTCAAAGCAACAAAATCCCCTAGGAAAAAAGTTCCTCTCAGTGAAATGAAAAAGTGGCATAACAAATTCAGCTGACAAACTAACAGTTGCCTTAAAAATCAATTAACCTTGATTGTTGTACGTGTTTATCGGTCTATGCTGCGCTATTCGAAGGTACAGTACGTGGGCCGACATAGGCTGTCACTCTAGCACCTGCTGTGGAGTGTACGAGTACCACCAATGAATGTTGTTTTTTTTTTTCAAGTTTTTGGCTTTAAGGCATTTTTCTAAATATTTTGTATATATATGCAGCTACACATATATACACATACACACATATAGATATACATATATATATATATATATAATATAAATACAAAAATATGTAATAGATGTATGTATTTTTCTGATTTTGGTAAATTTTGGGCTTTTGTGTTGATGTTGATGGGATTATTGAAAAAACGACAGGTTTCAATATTGAACGTGACGGATGGCTTAGGTGGGTTGTTCGTGGGCTTACTTTTTCATTTTATTTCCAATTTCTGGTCTAGTTTCGGTGCGTACTTCTAATGAAGCAACAATTTTGTTTTCGACGCTTGGTGAATTAATGTACACGTAAAGGCATTTTGTTGCAGATTATGTGGCTTGAACTGCTGTTCCATTTCATTTCATTTTATTTACTTTTTACTCAAAACATATTTTTAAAGTTCTCATTAAATGTTCAGGAAAGTTACCTTAATTAGCTCCTCAAGTATTTTTTCAAATGAAGATAAGCGACTTTAGGTAGAGTTCTTAACTCTCTAATTAATTAAAACTTTTTAGTAAAATTTAGTTTTTTTAGCAGAAGTGGAAAATGAGCTGTAAAATGCATATTTGGAACTGTTAAGGTAAATATTTAATTTTATTAAAATTTCTGAAGTTTTGAAGTAATTTGTTATCAAGTTTATTTAACTCTGAAAATAAATCTCAACACTAATGATATTAAATGAAGTGGTGAAGGAAGGAGCTTAGGTTTCTAAAACAAGTTTTAAGGTTAAAATGAGCTCTTTATTTCAATAACATTAAAAGGAAAATAGTTTTATATAGAGAACTTGATAGGAAGTGGATCATGGCTTCGATTTCAACAAGCTCTACAAATATTTTAATCGAAAAAGTACTAAAGAATGTTCTGTAAACTTATTAGTTTCAATATGTATGGGATAGGTATGTAAGGTAATTAAATTAATAAAATTAATTGTTAATGCAGTTATTATTTTCAATTATATGCTTTACCTTTTTCGCAAAATTTTTAATTTAAGGGTAATTTTTTGTATCAAATCATTTTAGCACAATAAATCTTTTAGGTCATAATGCACTATACCTTTTCTCAATCGAATCATTTAGATCTGCTTGAATGTAATCGAGTAATTGTGAAGATTCAAATATATACAATATTTTTTAAGGCTTAATATTGCATTATTTTGATAATATATAGCAAATTTATATTTAGAAATTCTTAGTGTTCCAGGGTAAATAGTTTCAGCCTAAAAACAAGCATTCTATTTTTGTAGATAAAATCTCTTCAGTTATGAGATATAAGTTAGCAGTTGCAGCAATCTTATAGAGCAGATCATAGAATTTACATACTTTAAAGCATAAATTTACCTTAAAAAAGATGGAGAACAAGAGAAGAATCAGAGGAGGTGTGCATAGGAAATAAAACTGAAAAAAATGATAATAAGAATATACAAGGTTGATATTAAGGCAATTCGACTTACGCAATATAAATCGTAAAGATATTTCTACAAGAAAACAACGTTGCACCGTTGTGGAAGCCTAAACCCTATGCAACATACCTAAATTCATAAAAAATAATCTTCTATTCTTTACGAAATTGCGTTCGAGATGAAAATTCTATGTAGCAAAATAGAAATTCTATGCTGGACATATAAGAAATACGCTTTTTTGTAGTAAACCATCGATAGTGTCGATAGTGCCAGAGATAGTTCTCCACCTCTATTACTAAAATACGATCATAGTCTAAAGGATGGTAAAAATGGTCGACACCATGAATAAGGCACAAGTTATTTTATTTATAAAAAACTTAACTATTATTATAAAAATAATTTGAAATTTTTGCTTAAAAGGAAAAGTGTTTTTGTCTATTAATCTGAACAAAGACGAACCCATAGAGTAATAAATATACATATTAAATTGATAAATAGCTGAAGTGAAAGGAATGATCGTATTGTTCATTTGGTTTGAAGTTCAAATCAAATTTATAATTAAAATCATAAAAGACCACATTTTTGTATGGGTTTTGTATTGATTATGTATGAAAAATGTACCTCTCTATTATTGCTGCACAATTGCCAAGTTAATTTTAACAAAATAAATGAACAAAAACTTTAATTAACGTATTGATATAATTTTCGGATATTGCATCCTGCAAATCGAGCAAGATATCTACACTTACAATAATACAATTTCATTATCGCATTTTTGTATGTATAGTAGGAGAGTTTTCTATATAAAAGAACAGTTGTTACTGCATATTTACTAAGTTAAAAAAGTGTACCTACTTAAAAAAAAATTAACAAGTTTTAAATATTATTTTAAATATCAAATTTTATTGTCATAAATTTCTGATTCATTATTATTGTCCTTATAATAGTCCTTGAACAATTCAAACGTCACATTCCTACCAATTTCTCTTATTACATATACGTCTAATTATTTATAAAATTTTTGAATATTCACACATTACTTCCAAGTAACAAGAATCTTAATTAAAGAATTTCTCACCAGATGTAGCTTAATATGATTGAGTGAATCTTAAAACTTTCTTTCATCTACAAACCTATACCTCTTTACATACGCACTCATTCACACATATTCAACCCCAATCATTCCTTCAATACTTCCAACACATCTCAGCGGTTTTTATTTTGTCAAGCTTTAGTACACTTAGTAGGATTTCTTAGCTCTGTTCATGATTTTCCCATACGATTGCCAATATTTTAGCAATTTTATTTGTATTCTGTTTTCGATTTGATTTTATTTTATTTTATGTGTGAAGTTCTTTTTGTTTTCATTGCTTATACAAAACATTTCCTTTACCTTATTTGCTCCCTCCATCCAAACTTCCGCCTTCTTTGTGGCAGCAGCTTGTACATTGTATTTATTTTTTCTTAGCGATTTCCGTGGAAATAACTCAAAAGGAAATCGAATTCGAATCACTTTCGGATATTTTGGTTAGGAAGTCGGAAATTTTTTCAACATTATTGTTTTGAACGTCGTGTCAGGATGTCTTTTGTGCCCCAACTCACTAAAATCCTGCGACATATTGGTTTTCATATACTCACACACACACATACACGCACATGTTATGATGTGCGAATGTGTGCTTGTGTAAAAGTGAAATTTATTGTTTTCAATTGAGTGCACACATACACATGTATGTGTGCTCATGTATAATAAATGTGTGCGTCTGTTTATAGATATTTCATTCAAACTACATAAAGCACACATAAGGAAAAGGTAGAAGAAATAATAAACAGAATATTGAAAGGAAGTTAATGTAAGGAAAATTGATAAGGCTAAAGGATATCGATGTCTGTTTATAATGTGCAACATATTAAACCTCAGAACCTGAGCTATAAATAACAAGGACATGCTTGATATATTTCCTGATGGCAAGGTACAAAAAATGCTTTTGCAAAATAAACTTTAAGCAAATCTTTTTTTTTTACAGTGTGGGCTTTGTGTTGAAGAACTAATGCTATTTCTGCTAGTTAATATATTACTAATTATTTTAGTTAGTACATTAGAGTTCAGGTAATGAAGTCAATATAAAATTTGGTAATGAAATTAATTACTCTTTTTATCGAGAAACGTTTAGAAAGAACATTTTTATTTGTTTACTTTACAAAATTATTTGTTTAAAGTATTTTGGTTTTATAAATGATTTAAAATTAATATATGAAAATTCTTTTCTACTAAAAAACCAACCATAAACTATTGACATTGCATCTTGAGTACTAACTAAATTTAAGTACTGAAATTTACTGAGAGTTGATTTTTACCTCGAAAAATGGATTGCAAAAGTTCATAAATGAAACTACAAACCCACATAACCAAAAACAAATTAACTTATGGCCAACAGAACAGCAAAAGTTTATAAAAAATTTACGGCACTCGAAGTAAAACTGCTCAATTACAGTTCTCATTTATGTAAAGTGGTCGAAAAAACGTATATGTTTGTGGCAGCAATGCAGCAATGCAGCGCTACTGCAAGTGAAGTGTTGCATATTTACATATGGAAAAAGTAGGATTTCTAAACTGGAGGAAGGACTGAAAAAAATTGCTTCTATTCGTCCAAATTTTTCAATTAAAAATGTGCTAAAAGCTTTTGACTGGCACAAGGATAGGATTTAAAAAAATGAACTTGTATGTTTTTACACATATGTATATATAGCTCTATATAAATATATATATTTATATGGACAATTTGTAAAAAGAAATTATTTTGTTTTTTGTTACTTGGTATTTAGATATAATTGTTATTGCAAACGTTTATATATATTTCGCCCTTCCTCTGTTTTCATTTAGTGTGTGACTTATTCACAATAGAGGAACTAAAAACCACTTTCAATTAAGTACAATTAAGATTACGGTCATGTGTTTTTATACCGCTTCTTTGAGATTTACGCCATTCAAATTAATTTTACTTTTTATTACAGCGATTTGTACAAATTTTTTTTTTTCTAAAATGAATTGAACTTACCTATAAAGTGGCTTGCCAGCACTTTCGCGAAACCATAAAACCATGTAAACTCTGTCATCCTTGGCTTCAGGTTCGATGTCGCATGGTAAAGTGGCCGTACGGCCAAGTACAGCCTCAACAGAAACAGTGGACACTGGAAAAAGAGGAAATAAATTAGTTTGGAAATAAAGAATAATTGTGAATAATTGTTATAAATGTTAATTTAAATTATTAAAATTATTTAAGTCAACTAATTTTTTATAAACTCTCTGTGTGTGATATATGAATTGCATAAACTTTAAGTAATTTAAAGAATTTTAAATAATATTAAATGATTTAATGGAACACCGAAAAAATCAACATTGGAACAAAACTTATTTGTCAAATGCTTAGGTATGACCTTAATTCTCTTCAGGGAAGAGATATTATCAAAGTGGTAATATATACCAATTTCTCACATAGTTTACAAGTAGTTTGGAGAAAGTAAAGTGTGCTTAATGTCCGATATGGTAATTTTGGTTTCGGAAGCAGAATAAAATCAACCATGCCATACCTGTTGCGTACAATACTTGATCAAATATATACTTGGAGCTCCAAACCAGACATATGTCTAGTAATTTTCGACAAATGCACTCGCATAAATGCCCTATAATGTTTTCAGCTTTAATCTTTTTGTATGGAATTTAAAAAATAAACTCTATAATTCTATAAGTTATTTATTAATACAATAGAAATTAATATTCAGTATTATGTTTATAATAATTTATTTTATAAATTACATAAACTAAAGTAGAGAGAATGAACGCCGCCCACCATTTGCTACCAGACTTTCTCAACTGTGAATTTAAAAACAGAGTTGTTAACCGAATTTTCAAATTTTTTGAGTTACAAATCGCTATACATCTTCAGCAATAGTACACTCTAGTGCCGATTACTGAATCCAACAAATTAAAGTCAACACTGGATTAGAACAACCAATTATGAAATTGTGCTTTTATCGACGTATAAATTTAAGAAATCACATCGGACGCGTCTTTTGTAACAGCACATTCTAGTGCTAAATATCTAATCCGATAAGTTCAATAAGAAATTTGATTGTTGGAACTAATAAGTACAAAATAATATGTAAAGTACATGCGTTTGAATACTTAAACGTAAGTATTCACAGGAAGAGGAAATTAATTCATAACTTAATAATTAACTCAATGAGGAATCTGATCTCGTTACTACACCCACGGGCTTTATGGTTTCATGCTTTGGAGCCATTTTCGATTGACATAGCCTCCTTTATATGCTTCACACCTACACAAATTCAAAACTTCCTTTAACTAATGAAAGGGGAACCATCTGCTTTATAACAAAATTCGATTCACTTCCGTTACCTTAGTCGTGAGAGCATATTCAGAGTCCCATTTTCTCTTCATTAACTGAGATCCTACTGCTACAGCTACTTTACTTTCTCTCATGCTGACTTTCTAACCGGAATGAATAAAGTTTCTAAATACTGAATATCTAAACTAACTATTCATTCCTTTGTTTGAATGGTTGAAGTGATTTATGCGCTCAAGCAGCAGAATTAATTTAAATATATATTTTTTCTATACAGTTGGATTTAGTGGACTTACGTCTCACAGTATGGTTGATAATTCCTTTCATCAAGTTCAAGTATCAAGTACGTTTAAGGTAATGTATAATATAAATGATGAGCTGAGAATATGAATACCACAAGCAGCTTTAGAGTCTAGAAAAAAAAATATATATATGTAGCATTTGGCTACAAAGCTAAAGATGAGTTTTAAGCAATTAATCAAGTCTTTAGGTCTGATATGATAACTTCTAATTTAAGCTTACAACAAATTTTATATATCAAAACACACTTAGACCTTGTACTAGGTTAGAAACGATTTAAGGAAAAGCATTATTTATTTACCCTTTAGAGTTATTTTCCCTTTTTTTCACGACCGTTATATGCCTCCATTGGCTCCGTTAAGACTTATTTATTTTTCTCTTAAATGTATTTTTTTTTTTGATTAATTTTTTTTTTTGATTTTTATTTTGCTTACCTTTATCAAATTAATCTGGTATCAAAGACTTCTCTTTTTTTAACATTTATCTTTTTATTTGCTTTTCTTATTTTCTGTCTTTAGTGTTTCTGGTACGTAAATACATAACCACACTTGCATAATCACAGTCAAGTACGTGAGCGGGAATGTTAATAGGGAATTGACGATTTTTGTTGGCGTCTTTGCATTTAAATTGCCAATTGACGTCGTCGGAAGTAGTACATAGAGTGTAAAATAAACAGAACTGAGAAATACGGGCACAGCTACCGCCACAGCTACCGCCACAGACACAGACTTCAAACCAAATAAACAAGTAAACAAAATACGAGTACTCGTAACTATAGTAGGTACGTACCGAGTATAAATAAACCAACAACGAATTCATGACTAAACGAATGAGTACGAATAACCAAAAGCAGGACCCATTCGAGTAGTACGAAGGTTACCAGTGTGGGTTAACAGTTGCTTAACAGTGTTGTATTGCAATGGCAGTTCATTTGCTAACACTGATTGGTGTTGCTGTGTGGGAGTTGGCTTTATTTTTATGGATTTGTGCAAAAATTCAAGATTGCTGCAGTTGCGATTTGCAAATTGCTGGTAGCAGACGTAAATTGCATTCACAGTTATACGTTTATTGCTGTTGGGAGTATTATTAGAGCAGACATTTTGTGGCTGCAACTTATGCTTAAGTGCAAAATACGCTGAACTAATGGAATGTCAAGATGTTAATGCAAAATTGCGGGAGATTTGAATTTATTAAATGTTCACACAGTGTATCGTTCTGCGAAATGAGTTTTATTCTTTGTTTGTTTTTCTTTTTTCAATTTTTCCTATTCATGCTGTTTCCTTATCAGTTTTCCCAGGTAACTCTGTTTTTCTACCAATGTTTTTTTGTGGGTGTATTTATTGTGGCAAACTAATATTTAACTACTATTTTAGTGTGAAGTGGTTGAAAGCGGGGAAAAAAATTACTGACTGCAATTTAAATTTTATTTATTTATTTTTATTATTGCAATAAAATTGCTTGTTGAATTACTGAGCAGGAAAATTAATAAAACACTTAACGTCACACTTTTTTGATCAAATTTTTACAAATAAAGAAATACTAAAGTTATGAATGCATGACTTATGAAAATGTTATAATAATAAAGAGTTGTAGAAATGCAACTATAAACATCTTCAGAAAAGTATGAATAGATGTTGATAATGTACCAAAAACACAAAAAGTATTAAAGCATTAATGATAAGAAACGGAACTCGGATTCATATACAGTGTATAATTGATAGTAGAGCAAAGTACCTGAACCATAATATATTTCTTATGCCTTCTCTATTCCGATAGCATACCAAAATGTTCTACTTTGTGAAGCTACTAATACATGACAGATATCATGTTTTATCATCTGTACCTTGATGCTGGCGCAGAATATTTATGTTCATAGAATGTAATCAGAAGTTTTATTTTCTATCAAATAGAACTAACACTCTGCTACCTGAGGTGACTTTTACAATTAGGAGAATCGTGTAGCTGGTAAGAATGAAGGTAAACCTGTTTGGAAAACCTTTTATAGCAAATTTTACGTTAAATGGTAGCGAGGTAGCCCAAGTCACCATTGGAGCGATAGCATAGATCAGGAAATTCAAATGTATCTTAAATGAATCCAATTGGTTGACATCAGCTCGAAATGTGGATTGATGAAGTAACTGATTGAAGTGGTTTTAGTCTGGTCACAGATTATAGTGTCGATGATAATTTCTCACAAGAAATTTAACATCAAAGCCATTTATACAAAATAATACACTCACGTATAATACAATTATACTTCCTTATTACAGTAATATATGCTTACAAATGTTGGAATGTCTATGTAGAAATGTCTAATTTTATTGCCATAATTTGGACATCTTCACTGAACATTTCATTTCTATATAGTGAACCTTTGAAATAGCTCAGAAACCCAAAAATGGAAAAAAAATTGGAAACATTCTACCTTAAAGTTGTTGTTGATTTATTTTTACTCTTAAAACTATTAGTATCAAACATCATTCTCTGAACTAAGTCTACTACATCTTTGTTTCGTCAAATTTTTCCCGCACATATAATAACTTGAGTAAGAGTACTTAATACTTGTCTGTTTGCATTCCTTTTCTCTATTCAAGAGAATCAGATATCTTATCCGATTTAAAGTTTTATAAACTCATTTTTAAATAAAATACTAAGGACTCCTTGCCTTTAAGACAAGGTTGTTTATTTTGTTCCAAAAAGCTATAAAAATCGAACGTATATCTATGTTACAAAAGGCCACGTGCTGCTTGTCTTACCATTGAAAATTTATTACCCTTTACACTCGACTGAAATATTATCGTCTGCCAGTTTATAAACTTACACGTTGCCTATAAGAAAAATTAACATAATTTGTGATGTGTACAGGCGTAAAAATTGAGTGATTTGCTTTAAGGACAGTCAAGGGAATCAACAAAATGTTTAGAAGATTTTATCTCCAAAATACACAAACTCAAAATCAATGCAAATAATGTGCTCTTGAGATGCAAAACATTTGTACAAATGTCGGTTGAATGCGTAATGCCACATAAATTTCATGTTTTCAGAAACCAAAAAAAAAAAGAAGATATACACCCAGAAGAAAAAAAATTCTTACAAGGATAACAGAACATTTTATGGTCGAATACATGATATAAACTAAATTTAAGCTGTTGTGGTTGAATGAAAATGGTTCAGTGGAAAAAAATTAAGACACAGCCTGCACGCAAGATTAATGAAGAAAACTCACAAACTCACACAGCGCCTAAAATCATGCTTCAAAATATTTAACTTTGCGTGTCTGCACAAACGGTTTATGCGTATGTGAAAGGAAACAGGATATAAACGTTTTTATTAAGTTTTAAGTGAAGTGTATTAGGGCTTAAAGTTTTTGTGTTGCAATTAAGTTGAAAATTTTTATAAAGCACATCATTCTCTGAACTGAGTGGAATGAAAATACGAAACAGCACGTTCGAGTGCAGTAAATAGAAAAATACACAAAAATACAGAGAAATATACAGAAAAACACAAAAACACAAAATTACGTGA